GATATTGTTGGGCTATGAAAATATTTCTATTTGCCGCGATAAACTCGTATCTACCAGTGGTATTGGTTACCACCCTTATCGCAAACAGTTCTAAGTTCAATAATAACAACTGTTGGTACCTAATTAACTATTTGCTTGTGGCGACGAAATTATTTACAAATATCATTAAGTATATACATCCTGCATTACGAAACAAATAACTTTATTTAATCAATCAATAATGACTGCTTGTAGACCGAATGAATAATAAATTATGGTTTGACTTTCGAAATGGAAATACATAATAAAGTCGTATAAAAAATCCTTCAAGATTTACTATATCTATCTCGAGACTTTATACACGAAGAATCAGTACCAATACAGTAAAGGACAATTAAATGACACTAAATGAAACGAATTATCACCTTAATTACCTAACGTGACTTTAGTTGGCTTACCAAAGTTCCCCCATGAATGGTAAACATTGAAAATTGTTCACATCCTATATCATAGGGGGCCATAAAACTGGACAAGTCAATTGGGTTGAACGACCTACCCATCGATCGAAGAACACTTGTATTGAACGATTCTTAGGTGACCTAAGTACTGTTATCACCTACTTCTCGTATCTTGATAAGAAGCCACATTATCGTATATCCGGGAAAAGTAGAGGACACTAAGATATAGTAATTTTGCAATTACATACATTCTTGAGTGTGTAATACATATAATTATCTAATTTATCACGAACTTCGTACCTCGATATAATTATATCAATGTCTTTATAGTTTTGCAGCATTCAGAATCATGAAATCCTCTAAAGGATTTTTATACTCTAAGGAAGGAAACTATGAAATTATGAAATAGGTAACCAAGAAAACCATGAATTGTCACATTTTATTGGTGAATAAACACAAAGTGTGTTGATAACTGGTGAATAGTACAGTAGGGCGATGTTTTATATAATTAACAAAATAGTCTTAAGTTTTAATATTTGGTAAAAGAATGGTGTAAAAAAATCTAAAGTTCGTGATGAAATTACTTGAAATAGCTTGAATTTAAGCCTTTAAAAAATAACTAATTAGTACAAATTTCTACCAAACTTATCTACTCAATAAATTATGAAAAAAAAATGTGTTTCTATATCTTATATTTAAATCCCTTGTATCCATGTCTTGATAAGCTGATAATTATTGTTAATCTACGGATAGGAATAGATTAAGGTTTATATTCGAATGTACGCAATTGAAATTATGTGTGTACTTACTTCAATATATTGAATACTTTGTAATTTGGTTTAAGAATATTTGGGTCATATGTTTTTTTTTTTAATATTGTAGATTATTTCTCCACGGACTCTAGGTCCGTGCCCTTGTCATACAGTTTTTTAATTATACTTAATACATCTAGTCAATTTTTATAAAGTAAAGAGGGAACCTAGTTACACACTACAATTAATAATATAATTATAATAATTTGGGTCATATGTTAAGAAATACCTATAAAGGCTTATGGAAACTGATATAAATGTGTTTAGTAGAATATATTAACGACCAAGTACCTGATTGTTCTTAGTTAGATATAACAAAAAAGATGAAAATAATTCAGTCAGTATATACCTATTTGAGGTTGTCGACAAAATCACACAATGAATTACACATCAAAATTAATTAATTTGAAAAGCTTTTTTACATATTTATGGCATTTTACATAGTAAATACCAATTTGCAAATGTCGTACCTGTTCCGTGACAATGGCGAGTTACAAAATATGAATGAGCTTCTAAAAATGGCGAATTTAGAATTTTAGTTATTTAATTACTTGATCTTGAAACAAGTACCTACGAACATTATTTACGATATGCTTTACATATAATAAACTAATTACCCACATGTTTGTGTGTTTTGCAGTGTGTTTACAGGTCGAGCAAAAGTGAACTTGACTCGTAAGTCGTAACCGTTATGATTATGATGTAGCAATCGAGTCAAGGCGAAGTACTCAATCGATATATTGTGATTCAATCGATTATAATCGATATAAGAACCACTTAGAGTGCCAATAAGTGTTTGTCGATTGCAACCATTGACCTTAGGAAAGATTTGAGTTCGTTATTTTGGTTGAGAATTTCCAAGACTTGTTTGTAAATATAGAATGGTGGGAAAAACCTTAGAATCATTTATTCCTTTTCCATTTTTAGTTTGAAATAAGATAATGTTTATTTCTATCGATGTCTGCTAAAAAATATTTATAGCAAATAGAGATTCTGTAGTTAAAATGTGAAAAATTAAATAAATCATAGTTTTAGGTGTGGTGCGGAAACGCAATAGACAATACTTAACTCGTCGAGTACCGGTTTTGCAGACACAATTATAGAACAATAGGTTGCGGTCACCGGTGACCGCTTGGTATTTGACAGTTTAAACACTAGTTTGATAGAGAAGCTTAAATATTGGATTGACAATAGTATAAAGAATCTGTCAAGGAAAGATTCATCAATATTACTACGAATGAGGAAGAGCTTAAGCTGAAACACAGTCTAGACACAAAAGGATATTATAGGTACTTACTCAATTAACCATATTCGTTTAGCTTCAAAATCATAAATTAACCATGAGAAATATTACTGAAATCAGAAATTACTATGTATTTGAAACGGAAAAAACCTTCGTTGGGTTACCAAATATTTTTTTTTTTGGTTATTATCCTGCAATGTCTTTCTAACGAACATTCAGCACATGGTCAAGAGTATAATTTGTCTTGTAGGGTCACCAGTCCACGTGGGCCCTTTACAATTCATTTCTTACAGGTCTTCAGGGGCTTTTCGTTTTATCATTTTGAATGTTCAGTTTATTAGTTACCATATGTTATGGACTATTATTTCTTCATGTACACTATTGTCACAAAGAAGAAAATTATTGATTGTTTGTTAATATTGAATTCACAATTGGATAGCTAACTTTTCATGAAGTGACGTAGCTCATAGGCTAATTTTCATCCCAATATTTAACCATTGATAATAAAAAAAAAACAATATTTTTTCAGCAACTTTATCTACTCAAGAGACATCCTCTGACGTAGCTAGATGCGTGCCATAGTCTATAATTATTGTCAATGTGGTTTCCCCGTAACTAAGTATTACACACGAATCCTTCTATTAACGCATTTCCTCTTCAATAATTATATCTATTGATTACCACACGAGTATAATCTTCTTAGTCTTTCATCATTGATAGATAAATGTGACAAGGTCTGACTTTGTAGTCATTTTCATCAATTATTTTTAATTATTTCATTGTCTTGTAGAGTACATTATTTAGATACTTATTAATCTTGTATTTTATGCGTTAATAAGGACGTTAAAAAATGGTGGACATAGTCTCTTAAAATAACAACTGTGGCACCTTTTTTTTAAAGGGGGGAAAATCATCGAATGACTTCTTCTGCCTGGGTGACGAGGGAGGGAGTTTCAGACTCTTGACTGACTAAAAACTACCCCGTTCCTACGCCTGCACTTCGAGCCGGAGCCCCGGTAACCCGTTAAGTTCTCCGCGGCTCTGTGGCACCTGGCTTACTATAGAGTTACACATAGAACATAAACAGATTGACTCGAAAGACATCTGTCATTTTCTTATGTTTGGTAATATGATAACCCATTACAAACATTTTGGTGCTTCAATCATTTCTAAGTGACATTATATCCGCCTCTTCGACGTACTTGAGTGTCAAGTTTATGTGAGGTTTTTATGGATTGACAGATCAGACTCTTACTGACTAAAAACCACCCCGTTCCTACTCCTGCACTTCGAGCCGGAGCCCCGGTAACCCATTAAGTTCTCCACGACTCACAGTTAATGCCTTTAGAAACATTTTCTGTTTACACTGGGTTCAATTCCATAACCATAACCGAAGTAACTTTATTTCAGTTATGGTTTTAGAAATATGTCTTGAAAAACTGAGACCACTAAGTTCGGGTTTTAAACTGTCAAACACCAAGCGGTCACCGGTGACCGCAACCTATTGTTCTATAATTGTGTCTACAAAACCGGTACTCGACGAGTTAAGATAATAAAGATTAAAGAACATGGAACAAGTCTACCTACTACAATAAAATCGGGACGGAAGCCCAAGTTACATTTATTACTCAGCCGTTTCCTTTTAAAATAAATCCGGAATTAAAACGACATTATTTATTGAACGTAAAATTAATTTATAAAATATCTTTCCTTCAATATTGTGTAAGTATGTACAACTTCTAAATGATTTTATTTATTTACTAGCTACTTCCGCGCGGTTTCACTCGCTCTGCTCGGCGCCTATTAATCGTAGCGTGATATTTTATAGCCTATAGCCTTCCTCGAGTAATTACACACACACAGAAGTAATTTTTCAAATCGGACCAATAGTTTCGGAGATTAGCGCGTTCAAACAAACAAACAAACAAAAAAACAAACTCTTCCGCTTTATAAATAAGATATCATTCTATCCGTTCTCTTGAGTTGTATCTGTCTAAAAACAAAATAAATAATTGTCTACATTGTGATAAATACGTGATTAGCTCATGTTGTCATTAAGTGGCAATTATGCTTCCTAGCACCATGTTTATTTATACAGACAAGATGATCATATATATATGTTAACTTCGAAACAAACATTGGAACAAAGATGCGAAGGTATTATTGATATTTTATTATCATGTTACTGACGATATAATCACAATAAGTACAGATAGTTCGCGTTGCATATCGAATAACTTTATCACGACTTCTTGTCACTATTTCGATAGGTATACGGCGTATACGCACTTTGTTTAGGTACTCTGCCATGTTACTGATCTGTATAGGATAGTTCAATATCCTTAATTGTAGAGTGGCTAGAAAGAAATGTACCATGATATACATTTCATTTGTATTTTCGTTTATTAGCTTGAAGTAAGTTACTTTTGTTAAAATATAAGAACGCGATATCACTTTTCACAATTTCAAGAAACCTTTCGGAAAATGAATACATAACAAGTCTTTTACCTTTATTTATTCCCAATTTGACTGTGCACGTGATATTGCTGAAATGTATGTCCACTGGATCAACTTTGGGGACCATGTGAAGACCCTGCGCAGACGCAGGGTTCCAGCCAACGGGCTGGGCTTCCCGGGATGACCCTTCTTCGGGAGGCATCGTGGCACTAGTCCCGGTATTTCCAGATTTCCCGGATGTATACGCTACACTACTTTCGTCAACAATCTGCGCACCGGCGAGCATCATTTTGATCGCGAACTACGTTCCTTCGACTCAAGTTCCGCGCGTGCGCGCTACGTTACGTCGCGCATTCAAGTGCGCGCGCGCTTCACTCCACCGCGAAGTGGACTATTGGAACCCTTTGTCCGTAGCCGGTAAATAATTGCACACGCATTTGTTTCATTACACGTTAATTTGTAAATGAGTGTCGGATAACACTCTATTAGCGTATACGTGTGCGTACGTGCGTAAGTGTGTGTACCGGTAGAACAATACCCTTTATTGTAACGTTAGTGCGTTACTCGTAATTTTAATGTGCTTGGAGACAAAGATGCGTATTTCTTCCTAAAATTATACACACAACAGATCCTTTTAATTATTGAAAATAAAGTACAAACAGTGCTTCACTCGTTCTTGAAGGTCTAATGATGACATATAGGAGTTTAAAAATATTATTATTACCAATTAAATACTTAATCGGTACTAAATTCCTAACATTTTTACTTCAATAAAAACGAAGTACCTTATTAAATTTATTTTATACGGAATAGAATCAAAACTTGTTGCGAGGAACAAAAAATGCCCACATGACTTGTCAGGGTAAATTGTATGGTAGATTACCGTTTAGAACCAGTTCTAGGATTACTAAGGAATTTACCTACTTTATGAAGCGGTTTAGATAAATTAGATAAATGTCCATAACTTTAATAGCAGATAATCTACTAACCTAATTAAGTGTAAGCAGTACACAAATAATTTTAGAATAATTTAATTATATTTATATAAATAACTAGATATCGGAAAAGAGAATAAACTTTTTAAATCAATTAACTTGCAGATCTTTAAATAACAAACCGTTTAAAAAAATTACCGTCATCATTAATTTTGTTTTATGCTGCTAATTTCGGTGAAGAAGGGGGAAACGACCTCAGAAAAATATGTTTGCAACACTAGCGCCATCTATGTATTAGTTTAGGAACTATAAATATATTTACTTGTGCAATACATAATGCAGTTCTTACGTAAAGCGGTAGATAGCGTAACTGTAGGTCCATACATACATTTTTAGTTCGATGAGGTAAGGAGAGATGGCGTTCTTCATTCATTGGCTTTAAATATCTATACTATTTTGTTAAGGTCTATAGATCGCTCTCTTGTCCCGGATACTCAAGTGTGGATATGGCGTTTCCATTGGTGAATGTTGTAAGAAGTAAAATATCGATTTAGTGTATAGAAACAACCGACGTAGTCTAAGTCGGATTTATTAACCTAGAAGTGTTCCGTACAAGGCATGAGATTATAACCAAACTTCTTAGGTATCAAGAGTCCGTGGTCCATAGTCCATGGTACAAAGTTACAAACGCTTACCTACTTGTATACTAAAAAATTAACTTAACTCAGTATATAAATATTAGACACACGCGTGTCTAATACTGATACCTAACTGTTTTTTTTAATATAATATTGAATTTACGATTTTCATATGTTTACTTTTACAGATGCTGGATCTGAAAGTAGTTGGAGAAGGCCTGGAACAATTGACGTCTTGTATTTGATCGGATACTTAAGGGATGCTGTAAGAGCTTACTTATCATTACAGTGTTATTCCGTTTCTTAAGTTTTAAGTGTGGGAGAGGACGCTCGACCACAGTGAAAAACATTGCTTGCGTTGTGTTTCATCGTGTGAGTGAGGTTACAGGAGGCCCAATTACCCTCCCCTTCCCCAATCTCCCCAATTCTTGAATCCCCAACGATCCTCAAATTCCTAATCCCCAAAAGGCCGGTAACACACATGTAACGCATTTTTTTACACTACAGTGTACTGTACAGTTACAGTGCGCTGTAGAGCGAAAATTTATCGTTTACAGCGGAAAATGGCCATCCGCATCGCACGAGGATACCGTACGGTGTCTTTTGAGGCGGCAACTCTCCTGGCTCGCTTTCCGCCATTGGATATCCTGGCGGATATGGATGCGAAAGTTTGCGAACAAATTCGTGCTGTACGCCAAAATGGCGGTAGAGTGCCAGGAGTGGCGTTAATTACGGAGCAGGTCTCTTTTAGAGGACCCGGTGCCTCCATTCAGGTGTTGAGGGTGGCCACCGGGGTGGTTTTAGTGAGGTGAAAATCCCACACTCCCTAGTCTTTTATCCCCAAAAAGGTTGGGCGCCTTTTGAAGGTTTCCCCCGGTCATCAAAAAAAAAAAAGTATCTACGACCTACGACTCGTACACATTCTAATATAAAAAAGTAAAATCGTGCAAAATGCGACATGTAAAAAACTATACACTACTTATATGAGAATATAGTCATTAATTCTTGTATCAATCATCCGTTAGAACTATTTAATAGTAGACACGAGACGCGTCATTTCACATCCTGCTTCACTTATAATCGTTTTCTTGTTAACTGTTAAAAGTAGTGTAGGTATGCTACGACTTAAGCGAGTTTTTATACTATTGGTAAATGCACGTCAAGAAAGTACGCTTGGTAAAATTATTAAAAAAAACGTCCCTAACATTCCCACAGAAACAAATACGAATCAAAATACGTGAGAATATTAAAAGTTAAGACAACGTCTCCCAAATGGCAGTACAAAACGAGGAATTTCCCAAAATAATACACAAAATTCGAAATGTGGTGAAATGTCGTCTATTATCGAGTATCCTGCTAAAAGACTATCGTAAAAGGCCGAGCAATAGCGTCTGATCAACCAGACTCTGAAAGGTTTCGTTTACCTCCAACCCCTATGCCTAACGTACCTACGTTGTTACTACTTGTTGTACGAAGATTGCCACTCTTATAGTCACAGACAGTCGATGATCACCCAATCATCTCATGAGGCAAATGCCTCTGAGTCCAGGTCGTTCTGATTGAAGCAATCATCTGATTGATTGACCACAGAGTAAAGATAGCATTGAACAAAGTAAACTTTAAAAAAATAAAATCACACACTACTTATACCTATTAATTAAGCCAAATAAGGTGTAGTATCGAGACCCACTTGTTTTTATTTTTTAAAAGATCACGACATATCTAGTACTTCATTTTGGGAAACACTGATTTAGGAGGTAATGGCTACATAAGTATGTTAATTTATCTAACTTCACATCGAATATATTACACTGTTGTCTAATTTACACTATCTCTTGACAGTTTTATGGGCTCATCCATTTTATTTTGACGTTTGCGACTTACGATTGCGTGCCAAAATCAAAATGCGTACCACGCACCAATGTCAAAAGTCTCACCTACCTTTTTTATCATTTAAGTAATCGAATATGTAAAACATGTATAGATACAGTCACCGACATTATGTGCCGAGGTATTAAAATTAAGTCAGGCAGCAAATGGTCATATTAATATGACATGTAAAAATATACAATAATACTGAAATAGTAAAATTACCAGACTTTTAGTTTTCATTTTGTATATTTAGTAAATTATTGAATGCATCGTTGAATAAAAAACACTATCGTATAAAAAAATTACCGGATTATCGGCGTTTACAATTTTTTTAGTGATGTGTGCATAACATAAAGTACCTACAATTAACATTACATTACATCTGTAGTTTGTGTGACACCTCGCCCTATAAGTAAGTACGCACGGCCACACATCAACCTATACAAACCCAGTTTATCCTGGTATCGCGTCGTATCATCTTTCCGCACAATTAACGTTCAGTTTATACTGGTTATGTAAAGCTCGATGTGTAGCCGTGTGTACCTAGTGTAAGTTATTAGGATTCCTAATTAAAGTTATTCATAAGAACAACACGTCGCCCTCATCGCTCCACATTGCAATATCATAATACATGTTTAACTCGTCGAGTACCGGTTTTGTAGACACAATTATAGAACAATAGGTTGCGGTCACCGGTGTCCGCTTGGTGTTTGACAGTTTAAATGAGTACTTAAAAACTAAGTGAAAGTGATCTATCACAAACGGTTAAGTTGTAAATATACACTTCAATGACGAGATATTTTTATTATAAACAAAATTCAATCATGTTAATTACCAACAAACAAAATATGGATTAACCAATACAATGCACTCATCCTACGCAAATGCATTCGGCAATCGAATTTATTCAAATAGATTGTATGTATATGTGCACACATGTCACAACGCAACGTAAGTATGTGCAAGTTTAGTAAAAATATTTCGTCAAAAACAATTGCTTAAACACATTAAACACAAATGTCTTTGTAAATGCTATTATGTAACACGTCCTGTTATCACTATCAATTATTATGTAATTAATATCACTTCACCATTAGAATTTGATATTCTAGAGATTATGATATTTTTATTACTTACTTTTAATTTGATTGACTAGGTATAGTTTACGTATCTTGATGATATTTGAAAATTCTCTATCAGGTCTAATTAAGACAATCATGCTCTGTTTCTTTCTCTTTGCTCATGGATACGTTTCATCTTTTCTTCAAACCTTTGGTTTTTTTTAAATCCTATTCACTTAACTCATACTTTTTCTGTCATAACGTCACGTAACAGTTTGTTAGCAGTCTACTTCATTCATCATCAGCACCGGCCCAAGATACCCTATAGTGTTTATTGGTGACTTTTTTCCGTGATAACTCCTATGCGCTTATTGTTAGTGAACAATAAACAGTGGTTTATTAATGATGTCTGTGTGTAAATTCCCAAATTATGAATTTGATTTTCTTTACCTTTCTTTACAATTTCCTAACACTTATATGCATACGGTGAAGGAAAACGTCGTGAAGACACCTGGACTTATTTAAGTTTGAAATCGTTAATCCACCTTGAGCAAGCATCGTGACTGATTTTCATACTTTTTGCTCAGCAATGGATAGCTGGCGGAGATAGCTGGCTGGTGTGATATAGGGACAAAATGTCATAACAATGTTTACGAAACTCTTTGTGAAACCGAATTAATAACGATATATCTTCATAATTATAACACTCTTTTGCAACACAAGTAACTACTAGTACATAATATCGACACAGCGGGTCAAGATGTCAATAGAAATAGATAAACCCAATCGATATGACTGCATGACCATTGCATGAGATGATCTACGGTTAAACTGATCGCATGTATATTTACATCCTATTTGCAATTGTCTACTTATGTAATTAAGTATAAGTTATTCTAAGTCTGTATAAAAGTGATATATGTGATAATATTCTGATCTAATTGGTATCAATGGCCTCGAATAATGACACTGTTTTCGGAGTATAAAGAGGAATATTAAATTTGACGTAGTTCAAGTCTATTCATATAAATATGTACCTACAACATTAAATTTGCAAAATACAATTCTGCACTACCCAAAGGATGACTGGCAGAGAATGCTGTTAGCATTAAGTCTTCCTTATGCAATTGTATCAAAATTAAATACTTAAATTAAAAAAAAATATGTACAATCATTTCGTCACGCCCAGTCTCCCAAAAGGATGTAAAACAAATGCTTCGTTCTGGAGATATCACTTTTCTCTCAATTACTTTTTCACTTTCATAAACGTCTTCATGCATGCTTGCCTATTTAGGATATTAGTAATTTGGCTCTTCTAAAATAAATACGTTTTTGTCGACGTTGAATTATCTAATTTATTCCTTTAAATGGAACCGCTTATTGTAAACAATCTCCACTACATTTTACCAATGCTTCTGCCGAGTGCCTCACCGATATATTATTATAGATATGATATTAACTCGTCGAGTACCGGTTTTGTAGACACAATTATAGAACAATAGGTTGCGGTCACCGGTGACCGCTTGGTATTTGACAGTTTAATATGACTTGATATAGAGTTACGCACAATCTGGACTTGGAAACCAGTTTGCGTCTACGCACACTACCTACGCATGTTAGGTACATTTTAGAACAATTATCAGTTTTTTGTTCGAAGCCTACCAACGGCAAGTACCAATGTGACTATTTCCAAGTTATATGTACTCTCCGAAATTATTTAGACACTACTGACAAACGGTAAGGGTAAACATCGTGAAGAAACCTGGATTTATAATTTGTAATTATAATTTTGAATTCGCCAACCCGCAATGAGCAAGCGTGGTGATTAATGCTCAAACCTTCTCCGTATGAGAAGAGGCTTTGTTCAGCAGTGGGCATTTATAGGCTGTTGATAATGATGACGATGATCATTATTTTAAACTAACTACTGAATATTTAAAAAAACACTACAAATAATGTACTTACGAACGTTTTTCTGAAGTTTCAGCTATGAGGTAGCAGTTAATATACAAGAAAAATCGTAAGTATAGGTACTTGCTGAGCGTGGGATCTATCAGTTGTCTGTGTTATAAAATTTTCCGATATTTTCCGCAGTACGATTGCTACTGGAATAACGATCGATGAAGGACAATATATAAGCTAGCTCCTATCTACATGGGAATCAAAATATTCAAATTGCTTTATAAAAATACCAAGGTTTGATGACAAATGGTTCTAACCAGTGCGTTCAACCTAACAGTCTTCAGCTTCAGGAATAACTGTGTCAACTTCGACAATAACTGAACATTTTATTCAAAGCACTCAATAAGTAGATAAACATCAATTTTATCTACTTATGTGTATATTTCTATAGTTATAAGCTTGTATTATTGATCGTTGCATTATGGCCTTCGCTCGGGTCATACTACCGTTTTCAGTGACAACTCGCTGGTGATCAAATATGCATGTGAATATTCCACTGTACGATTAATCAATGACGAAAAATTGATCTTCATATTGTCGTGTATTTTATGTAGATTTGAAATAGGTGAATTATCTTTATCTATTGTTATTATGATATTATTATTTGTGTTTTCTATATGTCATAGGTGGGTGGCTTAGTTGTCCATTGGTCTGCATTGCAAGATGCACACTGAATTCTTTCAACTCAATTCAACCTATATAATTAATAAAATGTATGTTAATTATTATGTTTTCGCCTTACTCACGTAACTGGAGGAACTCGACAAGTTTTAAGCCATGCTAGAGGCTCATATTTATGAGGAGCATTCCGCGACCGCGATAAATTCAAATCAATTTATTTCATAAAATATTACACCGCTTAAAGCCGTAAGTTGATACCAGACCAATAGAATACAAGAGAATGTTATTGATTAAAATTCAATTAAACAGTAACAAATAAACTGGTCTACGTTTAATACGGAACAGTCATTAATGAAGACATCACGGTATATCTACCCGACAAGCTCGAATTGAAATAAGTATGAAAACACCCGCGCTATCTGCCCTCAGTGTGGTGGCGACCTCGCGCTGTTTCGCACAGCACGTTGCACGACCGAACGCACGCAACTAACGGTTCACGGAATCCAAATACGAAATTATTTTATTTTAAATATTTCAAATAAAAACTTTTTTCTTTTCTTTTTTTCTAAATGAACGCCATTTGATAACGTTCGAATTTTAAACTTTCGAATTAGAAATTGATTTTCTATAAAAGTTGACTTTCGGGATGTGTTGATTTGATTACAATTGGTAATTAAATAAAAAGTAGTGTTGTTATTATTTTAAATTGTTAATAAGTGTTTGTGGTGGTGATCAAAATGGCGAAAGCTATGGCAGTGCTTCAAGGGTTGGGCCACAAAGTAAGTGGCAAGGAACAGGAATGCCGCACATTGCAGGTCAACATGCCATCTCCGAGGCCTGTTGACATAGAATTTAACAACATCACGCTTCAAGTCTCTGAGGGACTGACCTCAAGAAGTAAGTAGTTTAATATTTACAAACAAACCTATAGTAATATAAATTTTCCTTGCTTAAATATCCCTAAGCGACAAAAATGTTATGTCTATTCAGTCATTAATTGGAAATTTCTGTTCAAAATTAATAGGGAATTAGTTTCAAGGCGTTCCAGAATTAATATTAATTTACCTAAAATAAAAGCCGTTTGTTAGAAATAAATTCAGTACATTTACATTTATACGTTTCTATACGTAAATTAATACTATTATTTAAAATTTGACCGTGACTGTGCACTATTTAATAATACAAAAACAATTTAGAATCGCTTAACTCGTCGAGTACCGGTTTTGTAGACACAATTATAGAACAATAGGTTGCGGTCACCGGTGACCGCTTGGTGTTAGACAGTTTAATCAAATGTTCGCCAACGCTTGCTTGCGTAGCACGAAGACTCAAATTAGACATAAAAGGCGCCAATTCGCCAATCTATGAAAAGGGTTTTCTAATTGTTTTGCAAGGAATGCAAGCCACTATAAAGTGACACACAGATAATTAATTATAGGTAGGTATACATAATAGGTAAAATGTAGGTTACCTATTATTTATTTGCACCTGTATCTGAAAAAGAGTCGTATGAAGAAGCAATAAGTTTCTTCAATGTACAAAAGTCATTCCTATGTTGTTTGAAAAAAAAATATAAATACACAAGTGAAAATTATAAATTATGAGTAAGTATGTATAAGTTATGAAATATACTCTGCTTCACTGATTTTAATGGTCTACTGAAGTAGAAACTGGTTATATGATAACTAACTTGATATTCTACAGTAATGCAGTCTTCATTCAATTTTTCATATTTCTTAGAACCTTTGAGTAATACCAAAGGAAAGAGAGATAAAGGATAAAACAACTTTCCTTTTTGGGCCTCATCGCAGACCTCTTACAAACAAAGAAACTCTTCACCAAGTATTATTATTACCGGGTCTAGTATATTCAATATTGTATGGAGGTTTTCCATTTTTAAACTTCCATAAAAAACGTCCTAAATGCTCTTAACATAGCAAATGACCAAAAAGTTTTGATTGATCTGAAGTTTTACTAAAGTTGTCCTCTTCAAAACATTCTACTTTTTTAAGATCAGTTAAAAAGTCACCGTCTCAAAGGCCTATACTGCATATGGATAAAAACAACACTAACAACCTTTGAGGAATATCATAACAGTCGCGCCGCAGTACTCAAGTGAGCTCTACCTACTAAGAACATGATTAAGATAAATAAGAAAAAGTATTTTCATCTACGGATGACGGCAATAACGCCTCCACGTGCAATTGTTCAATAAAACATGGTATACTGTATACTAGCATGTCTGATGTCACAATTAATCCGAATTTATTAAAGGAAATGCAAATAATACTGTAGACTGCTTCGTTGCTCTAGTTTTCATATTTCACTGCACGAAGTCGAGATTCAGACCCAAGTAGGCTAATTTATTTATTGATGTTTCGGTGCGAACTGTCTCCGTGGTCAGTGGTTGCAAAGCCAAGCCAAGCTACCCCTTCTGTTTAATTTCCAGTTCGAAAAATACTAAGAATATTCTGAATCCACAATGATGACGTGAAGTCTAGAACTAAGTCCACTGTCCAGGGTATGCTAAAAGGCTTTTTAAAGAAAAAGTTGATGACAAAGCTAATAAAATCGTAGCAATATACGTATTCGAGTATGTTTTACTGAATTAACACTTTCACATCTAAATGAAAATTCAGTGTTCTTTGTGACAAACGCTAAAACTTCTTAGTTCAGTCTGTTAAGGTAACTTATTATGAACTAGCGCCAATCGAACTACTCACTTCTGAACCTAGACATACATAGATATATATATATAGTGTATAGTATAATCTATGTATGTATAAGTATCTCTATCTAACAATAGTTAACATGATATGATATTATGTTATTATTTACCTGTATGCCGCTAAGATCTGCCTTGACCTCATAAAATGCCGTCAGACCGCTTTCTACGCAGAATCAAAACACGCAGACTAGACATTTTGAACCATAAAGTCTTTCTTATTTGAGAAAGTTCGCTAAAAAATGTATTAAATTCGGACATAACATTTTTGAAACTGACTATATGCTTAGGTACCTACTCTCTCATTCGATTCCGGATTCACGTAAGTAATCGAAAATTCATAATGGGCATTAGGTTATTCAATTTTTTATTGCCAATATTATCTTTCACAATTAGATCTTAGAAAACATTCTGAGAACAAGGCTCGATTAAAACACGTGAAAATCGTACACGAAACTTATTTTTCCCAACACTTAAGTTATGTTTTTTATAAAATGTTTTTTAATGTCATAATGTTTATGACTCCCAATTAAAAAAAAAACATTTCTAATGAATACAAATATTTAATTTTTAACAGTTATTTTGAACTGAATACCAAAATACTGTTAATATCTCCATTCTCCATATTTATCATAAGTCTGCCAAAAGCCTTTGTAACATAACTTGGTGACACAGAAAGGTACCGCTTGTTTGGTTAAATAAAGCGGTTACAATTAAAATACTGTTAAGTGTTAATTGAGTTAATTCACTAGAATCTGTGTCATTGTGATATATTGTTTCAAAAGGGTTTTCTATAGATATAGGTAGCGCTAATTGTGAAAGTGAATTTGTTTGTTTTTTATATTACCACGCTTTCCTAAATTGCTGAACCGATTTTGATCGCTACAAAAATACTTTGAGATCACTAAGGACTCTTACTCAACCTCTATGTCGTGACTTTAGTAGTCTCATTGGTCACCAGAAATCAGAAGTCAGAATTTAAGATTTACATTGGATTTAAAAAAAATCGAGACAGCAAAATTTTTATCGTTTTGAGTTGTCGACTCGGTTTTTATTTTGTTGTTTTGGTCGTAAAACCGTAGTTCCTTTTTCGAAATTCTTGTGTCTTAAAACAGGTTTGGATACCTACTGTTTTGTATACTTGTAGGCATTTATTTCTCTTATAGGTACCCGTCTATGCTGTTCATAGGTTAAGAAAAAGGGTTGTTTTATCTATGCACTTAATTAATGACCATGAGAAAAACTTAAATCATATAATTTATATTTTAATCCTCCTTTGAAACTTTCTCCAAATATACAAATTCGTGTACCTACATATCACACCCAGACTCTGGTGAATTGTGGATCAAACAAAAAGTTGTTCCATGTCGTACCGGAATCAAGCCGTTGACAGGTTGCGCAAAAGTCGATAATGACTAAAACTGTAAATCTCCGCGTGACCAGTAGGATTCCCCTTTATAAAATAATGTAAAGGTCAGAATAAAAAAAAATAAGTGTAGACTGCGGATACTCAAAACCGTTTATATGTCAGTTCCTTCGAGGAATAAAAAGCTTAACGTTATGAATAGGTACCTATATATTTACTAACATAAGAACTGGTTGCACTTGCATATAAAACTAGTTTTCAAAAGGGAAACGTTACGTATAAAATTATGGTTATTGAAATTGAATATGCACACAGTAATCTTTATACACGGTGAAGGAAAACATCTTAGGGAAACTACGAACAAACATAGTGTAGAATAAAAATGTAGTTTATGAGAAAATAACCGGTTAAAGCGTAACTCGGGAAAACGAAGCCATATATTAGTAAACCAAGCCGAGTTTGTATCGATAAACATGTTGTATTGTATTCATTTGAAGTCTTTTTACCCCACTGTAGGCAGGGTATTGTTTTATATCTGTCTTTCTTTTATTTCGTTTATAAATACTGTAAAATTGTGAAACGTATATTAACCTAATTGGGTACTTTCCTTAATCAAAAATATACTATTTCGACTGTTCAATACAATAAAATATTAAAAAATAATCACACTTTCATTAATTGATTTTATGACCAACGTAATTTTTGTATTATTTCAGCACATTAAAAAAATATGTATGCTGTTTGACGCTAAAAAAAACGTGACGTCACGATACACAATCTCGTCCAAAAATCATAGAAACCTGTCGTTTTTGACAGTTCGAAAAAAGTATTGAATTTAATTAGGTAGTTGGCAAGTACCTATACAGTGTTTTTGAAAAAAAAATCAAGATCATAAGACAGTTTTTTTCCGATAAAAAGGTGTAGGTACTAGGTAGTTCATGATGGTGGAATGCATAAATTAATTATTAATTTATTATGTCTAATCACGAGTTCATTAGTTACGAAAAACAAGAATCGTCATAGTTTAGGAAATTATTTCGCGATAGTTTTGAAGGTCCGCAAATAAACTTGTTGGCAAAAAGTGTTACATTAGGTCAAGCCGTAAGCAAAATATTGGTCATTAATTTATCAAACGTGTATAGGTATTGGCGACACCGTTATTTTATTTTATACGAATTAATATTATTGCGTGAATTCCAAACAAGGTTTCATGAGTAAAATGGTTGACAAATAAATAAATCCCAATGTTTTTACTTGTGAAATTATAGTGTGTTCTTAGTTTGCTAATAGGCTGGTCCATTATTGTATTAAAAAGCTAAATGTGTTCACCTTTTTATAGGTAGGTCTTTCTGCTTATCTAGACATTATGTTAGATGTTACATAAGTACCTATTTCTCTTTAAGAAATGTCTAGAACAGTTAATTTTACGTGCTTATGCGGTTTTAATAAAATGGGAAACCACATTATGTTATCTAGAAAATTTATAATATAATTGATAGTCTATTTAGTAGTTAAAGGTTCATTTATAGCTTTACTCTCTTAAATTAGACATCGATTAAAAATATATTATTATTTGATGTTATACCTAACGGCACACGACACTGACAATGATTTGCTATTTTGAAAGAGCAGAACATGGGCATATTACAAGTCAAATAATTCACAAGCCTTTAAATTGATATAACTCAATCACAATATACTTAAATATTTAATGATTCACTTCCCTCTTATAAAATAACAAACCAAATGGATCCATGTCATTCATCACTAAAACATCGCAATGATTAGTGTAGTTATTAATTCTAT